GTCATTTAAAGTTCTAAATTTTGATGGAATCTCATTTATCAATTTTTTTCTTTTATACATCATGTCTTTTGAATCCTAGGTAGTTCTTGCCTACCCTGAATTCATAAACATTTTCCCTTATAATTTCTTCTTAAAGGTTTATACTTTTAGGTTTTCATATTTCGGTTCATAGATCCCTTCAAGTTATTTTCATGTATGGAATAAAAAGATTGAAGTTAATTTTTTATATACGGATACCAGGTGTTCTAGTGCCATTTGCTGAAAACACTATTTCTTCCTTGGCTCTTGAATTGAGTTTATATTCTATAAAATGTTAATGTTAAATAATCTTTCAAAACTCAGTGGATTATATATGTGTGGTTCTATTTCTAGATTCTCTGTTTTATTCAAATGATCTATATGTCTTTCCTTACACCAACACTGCCTTAATTACTGTAGCTTTAGAAGAAGTCTTAAAATTAGGTACTAAATGTCTTCCAACACTGGTTTTGGTTTTTTTGTTTGTTTGTTTTTGTTTTTTTAACTTTTCTGGGTCCTTTGTACTCCTACATAATTTTTAAATTTCAATATCCAATTTTTCATTCATAGTAAGTATATACAGACCTGAATTTTTATATATACCTTAAAAAATGGTACACATGATCATCTTTGTTGTAATGCACATTTTCTATGCTGTAAAATACAATGATAATATGAAAATCCATCAGTTTATTAATTTTCCAGGAATGGAGGAAGCAGCACTAGAACAGCAGAGAGAAGTTCCCTGAACATTCGAGGAGACTGGAATTGCTTGATATTCGTGTATAGGGTACATTGTTTCTAGAACCAGTGTGTTACGTAAATCCAATACATGAAGGTGAAAGAAGCCCGCCCTGTGATGTGTATGTGGGTCAGGTGGCCTTTATTTCTTATGTTAGGCCTGCAAATAAAATGAGATGGCCCACGGGTGTTGTTCTTTAGACTCAATCATTCCTAATTTGGGGGCCAACTAATAAAAAGGGGTGTTTCAAAAATCATATTTATTTGACTATCAAAAGAACATTTCTAAAATATCACAAACCTGAGAGACAGAATTATGTATGACCTCTGTGAATCTACTTCTATTTTTACCAAGGTGAGGTGTGAGGTTTTGTGTGGGCTTGAATTATTTTGTGTTTAAAGCAGGAGCTGGGGACATAGAGAGGGTTTCCCAGGAACAGTGTGGCTCTACAGCTGTGAAATGATTTTCTAACACAGCCAGGCTGATTGACTTCACTCACACTCTTTTGCTGCCACCAGAGAAATCAGCCAGGACAGAGCTGGTAGAGGCTGGGCTTAGAAACAGAGTGGATGGGTAGAAATGTACATTGTTTGAAGAAAAAGAGAGGGGAAAATTACATATTTGTATTAAACCGTTTTATATAATATGTCATAAATATTGATTGATGTATCAGTTATACACACACAGTGGGAGAAATGCAGACACAATGGATAAGTGGGGAGCTACCCAGCACTGTTTACTTCTTGAATTTGAGCCATGTTCAGCCCTGGCTGATGACACTGGTCCTCACCACAGCTGTCCTTGTGTGTGTGTCCTTCTTCCCTAACCAAGCTCTTATGTCTTCACCCTTAGAGTTTCTGAGAGGTCTAAAGTTATTTTTCTTTCAGAATTGTTGGAATGATTTCTGCCACACTTTTGGAAACAAAATTTCAATTCTTTTTCTCACTAACAAATGAGTCAGAGGTGGAGCCTACCACTGTATCAAACATTTGCTATGTTCTGGGCAGCAATTGAGTTAATTACCTAATTTAGTTTCCATCCAGGCTTAGGATGAAGATATTATTATGGCAGTTTCGGCTGAACACTCTGAGATTAATTGGATAATGTAATAGCCATGGTGCTGAATCTGTGATGACTGAGGCCTGAGGTGCTGGTCTGGGAGATTGTTAGGGATGATTGAGTTACCAACTCAGTTTTAGCAAGCAGGCAAATGAGCTGCAAGACAGAAAGTGATTTGACTAAGTCTTGCTAGGGAGAGTTTTGCAGCCAGGAAAAGAATCCAGGACTTCTGCTGGCCAGGCCGTGGTCCTTTCTTGGGAACTCGAATGACTACAGGTCCCTGAGCTGACTGATGATGCCAACAGGGCTCGCTGTCACCTGGACCACGAAGGGAGTGAGGAGAGAACCCATGCTGATTCTGGCCAGACTGGAGAGCACGCTTGGGTGTGGAGCTCAGGACCTCAGTCGGAAGCTTGATTGTATCTGTCAGAAGTAAGAATCGATGCAATTAGCTGCAGACCGAAACGTCAGACATTTGTAAATGCACATCGAAAACATAAGAGCAGAAGCGAGTTGGGTCTGGATGGCAACGCTGCCCTTTTCAGCTCCAGTCTCACCTCTTGCCTCTTGTGATGCAGCATTGTCTTTGCCATCCTGAACTTCACAACCCCAACAGGAAGGTGCAGGTGCGGGGCACAGGACACAGCCTACTCAAAGTCTTCCACGCCACATTCTCCTAAGGGACAGGCTCGGGCCTGTCCTCCACAGGCCTCCCTTGAAGGGCAGGGTCTGGTCTCCGTCCTCTGCTTGGGCTGGCACCTGCAGGGCCACAGCCCTGCACAGCCCTCCGGATGGTGGGGCCGATTGGAAAGGCTGGGGCACTGCTCTCCCATCAGCTCTTCCGCCTTGAGTGGTTACAGATGCGCTTAGCAGAGGCAGTGAGACCTGTGCAGGTTAAGGCAGAGAAAGGCGAGCTGTTATACGCGTAGGGAAGCCATGAAGTTCAATATCATTTCTTCTGTGTCTCCATGGCTCTGCCGTGTGGGCTCATTAGCACTCTTTCAATTTAATGGTGCTCTCTCTGTGTTCAGCCTTTTTACTGCCTCTTTGTATATTTTTCATTTGTCTAATTGGTTATTTGTACTACTCAAAACTGGTCGATTTGTGAGAGGAAGTGTTAGTTTATTAACAAACAACGTTGTGCGATTGTTTTTTAGTAAAACAGACACTGTGTGTGGACCTTGCAATGAGGTGGATTGTGCAGAAGAGGTGGTGCTTCCAGGGGACCAGTTCTAATCGAGGAGGTGGGATGCACTCATTTGAAGTGGCCCCCATTCTGAGAAGCAGCTGTGCAGCCTCTTCAGTGGTGGAGACCGGAAGTGCCGGGTTGCAGAGGAGCCACTGATGTGAAAGTATCAGACCGGAGTTTGTACCGAAAACAGGAGGAGACGGGAGCAGCTGGAGAGAGACAGGGCGGGCAGGTGCTTCAGACTGGCTGCTGCAGTTTCTGTTTCCTCCAGTTAAGGACAAACAGTGTCACCACTGAAGAGCCCACTTAGCTCAGGCTGCTTTGCTTCTCTTAGGAAACTTGCGTAACCCTAATCAGCACACTGTCCTAGACCCTCAGATGAGCGTATCTAAAATGGGCCTGTCATTCTGACTTTCTGGATTTGATGCCATGTTTCCTTTAAAAAAATGAATGAGCACACTGATTTTCTATTTCTTTTCACCATCTTACCATGAGCTCATGGACAAAATATAACTATAATTCATAGTTACTAAAATTTATTCTTCTGTCTCATTAAATCTATTCATGACAGTATGTATATGTGTGTTTATAAATTCTCATTTTCCTGCATTCTGTGTGTTTTGCTAAATAAGGGGAAAACTAAGTTTTGTAGATAGTATTGTAAGCCCCAAACTTAGAGAGCAGTGACTTTGAACTTGTAAGATAACCAGAAGTCTTTACTGGGCAGGTTTTAGGAACTTCTCTGTGGGATAGATAAAAATCAACTCCTTTATGAACTTCATTCCTCTTATTAGTGGTACAGACTTCCAATCTGGTTCTGCACACCTACGTCTGTAGTGAGAAGTACAGGCATTGCTGGTTTGTCTTGTTAGCACTCAAAGATCTTTGCTGTCAGTTTCTGCATAATGTTTACTGCCACATGTGTGTAACAGCGATACAGGGAAAGGTGAAGTTTCTGTTCTTCTGACAGTAGTCACATCTGACCACCAACATGTCCAGCAGACACCAAATGGACGTCCTATAATTTATTCCATTTTGTTGCTGTCTGCCTGGAGATAACATCGGATCCCATAGGTAAAATCTCAGGCTTACAAGACTTCCTACTCCCACCACACCACACACCTAGCTGAGATGCCAAACCCAAGAGGGAGATTGTCACCTTATTTCTAACCAAGGCGCTATAAATTGGGGATCCACTAACCCTTTCTTGGGGTTAATTTGCTCAACAGCTTACAGAACGCAGCCGACCATGTTTACTTACCAGTGCTCCATAAAGGCTGTCATGGAGGACGTGGGAAGATCAGGGCCAGCATGGGCTCCAGAGTTGTGCTGAGTGTGACACCCCCGGAACCCCACATGTTCTGCTGCCCGGAAGTTCTCTAAACTCGGTGATTTGGGGGTTTTATTAGTCTGCATCACTTGGGCGTGATTGATTAAATCATCAGCCACTGGTGATCAATTTAAGCTTCAGCCCTTTACCCTCCCCAAAGATTGGAGGTGGTGCTGAAAATTTTAACTCTAATAGTGCACGGGTTTTATGGGCAAAAGCCTCCATCCTGAGGCTGTCCGGGGTTGCAGGCCATCTCATTAGCATGTAAGAGACGTTCTGGTCATTGTCCATAAAGAGGTCTATGCCAGGAAACAGGAGAGAAGAACAAATATATATGTCTTATTAAGAACATCACAGTGTCTCCGTTTGCAGTGTGTGGTGTATTGCAGACCCAAAAACAAGCAAACAGCAACGAAAAATATTCCAGGACATTTTTCATAAGGAAAATATCCAAGTGTTACTCCCTAACTAAAATATGATACAGAAGATACAGCAAACAAATAAATTCTGGGAATTTATCACAATACTTTGAACCCTAACTATAATTTAAGAAAAAACAGGGCAGATAATTCTTCTGAGCTCCAAGTAAATATCCAGTGTTTCCTCCGTGTGATCTGCAGTAAGTGCCGGGCAGAGACAGCCAGGTAACTTGGCGTGAGGGTGACTGGCCTCGATTCCAAGAGAGGTATTTGCATGTTTCCTCTCTGGATTCTACGTGGTAAATGAATTGCTTTCATCTTACATCTGCAACATTCTACAGTCTACCTAGCTGTGCTATGATATTAAAAAAATTTAAATCCCTCTTGTGAGTATCCAATTGTGACCTTTCTTTTTATGGAAGATGTATTCTGTTTCCAGTTTTGCTTGATCTAAGCAGCTTCTAATGCAAAGGAGTACACGGTTTATAAAATGACACTAATACACTCTGTGTCGTGTGGTGTCAGAATATGATGTCACATAAGAAATCCCATTTTTGTTGCAATAAAATCACCAAAGGAAAATCTAGATAAAATAACTAATTTATTTACCTGTAGGTATTTGTGAAAAACCTCTGTGTGTGTATCTGTGATGATTTATTCTGATTTAAACTGTGGTGTACAGAGCCACTTTGTTTTCAGATCAGGAAGATGAGTTTTAAAATTCATTTTCATTATTCTACCGATAGGTATGAGGACAAAATGTACACATCATAGTCGTAATATGCTAGTGCTATATTGAAGTCCAGAGGACTAAGGTTTAGCTTCATCCTGACCTTGCTTTGCATGTGCCCTTGAGCAAATCAGCCTTTCTGAGCTGCTACTTTTTGTCTATGCCCTGGAGGTAGCAATGTCTGCTGTACTTTATTGGCTTGTCATGAGAGATAATATTCTTGGAAATGATCAAAGTTTGTTGAGCACATGTATGAACATACCAGAATAACTCCAACTGTTCAGTACAATTAATTCATACTAATATAAAATTAAATAAATGTCCGTGGAATCTTGGAAGTACTACAGTCATCTGAAATGAAATTATTTTCAAATTCAGCTAAATTATTTTTGGCCAAAGGGTAAGCCAGTTATCAAATTGCTGTTTATGTTAAAATAACCCTTCATTAATGAAAACATTATGAATGGACCTTGTCATATACCTAGGCAAGGTGATTCATCACAGATTTAAAGACAACAATGATGAATGATAATTATTTGAGGCACAAGTGTAGTTGACCTTGAAGTCACTGGCACTTGCAGTTCGGATGCTAAACAATCACCCAAAGCTCATGTGTTCGAGACATGGTCCCCAGGCTGGGCTCGTGGGTGGTGGGAGAGGGGCCTACGTGAATGTCTGCAGGTCATTGTGGTCATGCCCTTGAAGGGGGTTATGGGAGGTCAGCCTCGTTCTTCTCTTGCTCTCTGGTGATGGGAAGCTGGCTGGTAGCATGGCATGAAGGAATGACACGAACTCCAATCATTACCTGTTATGTGCCAAGCGCTACACTGGTGGTTCCCACACATTGTGTCTGTTTCTCACCGAATATCTCCAAGTGCCTGACTGCCAGGAAGCAGGAACAAGTGTATCACTGGAGGGGCAGACACAGTGGTTTGCTCAGACTGCAGAGTTGGTACCAAGCAGAGGCAGAATTTGTACCGGTCCAGGACCATACTCATTATGTCAAGTGTTTGACGGATGTTGCAGCTTCATTACAAAAAAAGGCCGGATCCTAGGACAGACCCTCCAATAGACCACCACCCAGAGGGTGACGATGGCTGTCTTTTTCCGCGGTGGCTGTGGTGAGCTGTAGGAAGTAGTAGCTTTCCTTCCGGTCTCAGTAAGAAAACACCCAGTTTCATCGTTGCTGGGACAAGGTACTCAAAACTTGCCATGTACACGTGGTGGAACTTATTTTGAGCGATGCTGATGAAGTTTCTGTCCACGTTTGGCAGAGGCTCAAGAGTACGAACTTCATAGTACCCGGGCAGAGAACAGCTGCTCGTGTCGTGGGCACCGGAAAGCAGAGGAGAGGGAGGCACCCAGCAGGGAGGTGCATCTTCCAGGTCTCCTACCCAGCAACCTGCCTCGTCTGCCCCCAGCCCCACCTCCTGATGGCAAATCATCTGCAGCGCCCGGGTCCAATCCTCTGCCTCCTGAGAGCGGTTGTGCCTCTCGGGGACTTCTAGATAAAAACCATAACACTTTACTTAAGCTCTGTTTCTTACAAATTGTCCAAGGTTTGCTGCTCCTGCCTGCAGTTTTAGGTCTAATGAAGCGAATCCCGGGTTTTCAAAGGAAAAGATTCCATTTCTATGACAACACTCTTCTAGGTGTCTGTTGATACTGTTCTTGCAATCCATTGCTACTGGCAGTGACAGACGTGAGCTGCACATAAAAGATAACTCGTTCTACATAAGGTGTCCTGGAGGTCACTTCAATAACACTGTTAGGCATTACCAAAATTGGAGAGCTCTTGGGGATGGCACTGCGAAGAGCTCTCTTCCTCCTCCCCCTCCTTCCTTTCTGTGCGACTGGGAGAAATGTGACTTGCTTCTGGCAGATATTCAGTCTTTAAGCTTCCAGAGCTGTGCAGCTCTTTTAATAAATGACGTGTTTCTTGTCCATGGGCTCTTAGTTCCTTCACTTTAACTGAAGACTGCACCAGAACAGCAGCTGCTCAACTGAGAGAACAAACAGGAAGTTGCTCCGGTCCTCGTCTTCCACTGCTTATGGACTGAGGACTCTGAACTGTTGTCTCTTGTAATACACAAGCGCTACCAGCTCCTAGAAGCTCAGGAAAGCCCCCTCCATGTGCCTGGTGAGCGTAATACAGAGTTTACCAAGTCACTCTGAGCAATGCCTCCTGCCCACCCACTCACTGTAGTTTAAAGCTGATTGGCTGTCCCAGAGCAGCTGCAGTGAGACACGCAAACCTGGAGAAGCCAGTTCAAGTTTATAGAAAATAGGATGTGGTGTGCACAAAACATTCCCAGACACTTATGTGTAACAAAACCCTATAATAAGCTGAGCAGGGTGGCACAGGTCTGTAATTCCAGCTTCTGGGAAGGCTGACGCAGGGAGGGTCACAAGTTTGAGGTTAGCCTGGGCAACTTAGTAAAACTGTCTCAAAAAAGGAAAAAAGGATGAGTGTGTAGCTCAGTACTGGTTTAATCCCTAGTACTGAGGGAAAAAAGACCTGCACTTGCTCTAAACTGGCATGTCTTTCCACAGCCTTTGTACCATATGTAGAACAGGAATAATATGCAGAGACAGAATTTCTGTCGTTCTTTAAGAAACTGATCATTCAAATGTAGAACAAGAAATCAAGAATGTGTGTAATTTCATTTTGCTTTCTTATCTTTCTCATCAGAATTATAGTCTCTGGATGCACATAGGATTTTTTCAAACTACCATGTGGGCCATCATTCCTGCAATGTGATTATGAGGGTAGCTGTCTAGGTGAGATGCAGCATGGAAATCTTGCAATTAGTAGTAATCAACTCATATGCAAACAAAGAGTGTCATGCTGGGAAAAGAAACGAAAAAACCCAATTTTAATTAAGAAGGTCCTGGTCTTCCTGTAAAAGAATTTATTGCTCAAATATATCATTTTCCATTTTAAAAAGTGAGATTATTATAATTTGCCATTTGTTCCTATTATTGGTACTCTTTTCTTGACACTGTCATCTTTCATCAGTTCTATTTATTTTTTTCTTGTATAAAGTATCAAGATTTGAAATACATTAATATATTAAAGTAGTTTTGCCTTATTATCTTTGGTGTTTGAGTTTGGCTATTTCTACCATCTATCCATCTATCTATTATCTATCCATCGTCTATCTAGCTCTCTGTATATACATATATAGTACCGTATTTGTACATATAAAATAGCATATTACATAAATATATTAATTTCATATATCAAGAATGAAAAAAAAACAAAGATTTCTTGCAAACAGAAAGATTTGAGACTAATATCCAGAGAACAAAAAATTTATTTTCCCCAGATAGAAGTTAATGATTAGAAATTCATTCAACACTGATATTGTTAGTCCGGGAAGCCTTAGGAGTTGTAATAAACTGAAAAACACTTTGAACTATCTCTAAGAAAGCAGCTGTGTCAGATGGGAAAATCCTTCCTGCTGATAGATTATTTGTTTTAAGTACAATTTTTCCATCTTATAAAATTCTTATGATATTTATTGAAGAATTGGATAGAAAAACTTGGTAAGCATATTAGTGTTTAGTCCTGAAAATATTAGAACCAAGAGGACCAGAGAAGGCACACATCTGAGCTCTGTCTTTCCACGCTTTCCCCTGGGTGCATCCAGCACGCAGAGCACACACAACGGGGGCAGCGGCTCGCTCCCCATCCCAGAAGTTCCCTCCCTGGATGCCGGATGCACTCACTGGATGCTCCAGTGCATGCATTCCACCAGCGCTGTGTGCCTACTATGTTTACACACTGGAGCTTACAGGGAGGAAACTAAGATATTTCTGATGGCAACAATCCAGTGAGAGGAGATAAATACAATTTATTAAAACATCAGGTAATAAGCATATTGTAGAATAATCTACAAAGTCCTAGGTGAAATCACAGGAGATACTGATGGACTCAGTATGAGAAGATCAGATAGAAGAGTCCACATTATGAGCTGCCTTTGATACACTGTATCTTCTAATTCTCTATTTTGCTTCTGTCTCTGTATCTGTTGCTTTTCTTTGACACACACATGGTAGAATTATGTAACTCTTTTAAAATCCTTCAGGCATAAATCCACGTTTTATGTTCTGTACCTGTCCTGCTGATGTCCTTATCTATAACCTAACAATGAATTTTCCCAAAAATAGGTCTGAATTACCTCATGAGCATAAATTTAGCTAATATGCCCCCAAAGATAAAAAAATCGTAACAATAAAAACTTGTAACATTTCAGGGATTAGTGACAAATAAATGTTTTCTAATTATGAGATGTTCAGCATTGTAATTGCTATTGAGAGTGATAAGTTCTCTATCATCAGAACTACTTAAAGCAGACTTGTATTAATATGGAATCATTAAACTGACTTTGGATTGACTTAGTTAACAAGTTGTGAGTTTTGTATATAAGAAAATATATGCATTCAATTATCATCTTAACCATGTGTTTTCTCTCTCCATATAATTCTGCAAGTCATGCTATTGACAAGAAGAGGTTATAAGAACGACATACCAATGACAAAGCTGAACATTCGGCAATTTCCATTCACAGTGACATGGATGCTGATTTGGGAGTAAACAGCAGCTACAATAGTGAAAAGTCACCTGCCAAAATATTTCACATGTTCAGTTGATGAATCAGTACAAGTTTCAGACCTGAGAATGAGAAGTCCAACACTCATTGAGCAACTCCCTACACAATCTCATTTAACCTTCCCAGAAATGTGTACAGTGATCATGTTTTCCATGATACATGATGTGTGGGTGCATATGTGTGTGGGTATATAAACACATACATGATACGTGTACAAGCTGTCAATTGATTTTATATTTATGAACAGGAAGTGAAAGCTCAAAGTACTTTTTCTGAAGATTATTAATAAGAGATTCAGTGTTAGTTGTGATTTCAAATCACATAGATTAGGCAATGTCCAAAAAAAGAAAAGGTTGCATCTGCATAGTCAAAAATAATCATGCAATTTGACTAAATTCAAAAAGAAGACAAGTGAATTTTTATAGGGAATGGAGGAAAGAACTTACTGGGAATAGTAGCTTATTGCCAGATATATTTAGTTGTTTTAAAATACTTTGCTTTTTATCTATCTAGTCTGCCTATCTGTCTATCATCTCTATAATTTTATTTTCCCCTCAAAATGAGCCTGAACCAGTTTAAGTTGTTCCTTAAGATCAGGACCAGGGGAGTCTGTCTGCTTTTCTTAACTGATGATCAGCTAGCAGGGTGATTTCTGGGACACTGGGGCTGTCCTGACTTTGGTGGGAATCCAAGAGTTTCTTGTCTACATGATGGTACTCTTCTAAAGAAAAAGGAAAATGACCAATTAAACTTCCTGAATTCACCCAGAGTATAAAGGACAATACATTTTAGGATGGATGAAAAATGCATACATAGTAAGGCAATCTCAAGGGAGCTGACTCAAGGGTAAGGCCATCAAAATAATTACACGTGCAAGCTCACGAAATAAACACAGTATAGGGTCTGCAGGAGCGATTGCCATTGGGACACCTAATCAGTGTCTCTAAAGCAGTGGCACAACAGCCATTATTAAATTTGACAGCAGGTTTTGCATAGCCCATGCAGCCCGTTCACGGCCGGACCCAGCCGTGTGTGAATACTTCATTGAGCAGCAGCCAAACCCTCTGCTTTCACATGTAGTAGCGGTTGCAAACCTGATTCCCAAATGCACCTGCCTGCTTTCCTAATGTGCCCTTCCCCAGGGTTTCTTTGCTTATGGACAATCCCATGAATCTGTAAGTTCTCAGGCACATCCGTGTTTGAGATTAATAATCATGGGTATGCTGTGTGTTGTTGACCCCAAGCCTCATGCGGTCACAGGGGGGCTGTTCCGAGGTGGCTGGATCTAGAGTGTGTGATGCTGAGATCAAGGGTGTGATCACTAAATCAGTCCACTGATTGGTTTGGCACAGTTCTGGCTAAGATTAAGGTATGAGGGCAGGTAGCCTGCATAAAATGTAAGGGACAGAAAGAGGGTTAATATTTTCCCACCCGCTGCTTTCTGTGGACTCTCTCTTCGTGATGCCCCTCTGCCGTGCCACCCTGCCTCGGAGCCAGCTGACTATGGACTGAAACCTCTACACACTGTGAGCTAAGTAAACCTCTCCTCTTCTAAGTTTGGGTGTCGGGTATTTTGTCTCAGCAATGAGAAAAGTAGCTAAGATGATCATTATTACTGATTTCAATAAAAATTTGAATTTTACACATTTCTACTGCTAGAGATGAAGCCTTCAGGTTATCTGGTATCGTAAACTACAAAAAATCTCTTCTGTATGCAAAAAAAGAAAAGAGAAAGAGCAAAGAAGAAGAAAAAGGTCCAAAAAGTACTAAAGCATCTGCTAAAAACATCCTCAGCACAAGCACTGTGAAGTAGTGGGAGGAAGCTGCTTGCAGTTTCACGGGGCCATGTCCAGCTCATCCCTGGCTCTCTGGCCACTTTCTGTGAGGCCTGCTCCCTTCTGAGCCGTGCAAATAGAGGCATGTAAATCTCTCACTGTACGGCACATTTACCTTCTTGTCCTTCCAAGAAGACTATGCTGAATAGGCATCATTATGCCTTTTATGTCCAATAATGCCCGGTAATAATAGGTACCCAGGAGATACTAAGATATTTAATATTGATTTATCAAGGGATGTAAACATTATGCACTGCAAACATGTGGTGGTAAAAATAAATGGATTAAATTTCATTGTCCCTGAGGTGTGGAATAGGAATAATAGTCCTCGCTCTGCATACTGCACACTTCGTTCTGCAGACAATCACTGTATGTGGAGGTATTTCAGGGGAGGTATCCCACAGGCATCGTGCAAACAGAGATTCAGACTGGCCTTCGTCTCAAGAGAAGCTGATCTGACTTCCACGGTCTAAATGCGATTCTAAGAAACTGAAGGGAAATAAATACACGCAAGTCTACTAAGAGCAACTGGAAAACCAGCTCAAGTCTGGGATGTGCTGCAGCGATTTCCTGTTGCAACATAGGGACTGAACTTCTTTCCATTTTTCCATCTTCATCTTTAGTGTTTGTGATTGATTTGTAAATATAGAGAAATTGATGGTTTTCCTTAGAACAAGGACAATGTCGTCCTGCTCTTCATGCAATACGTCTCACAGGAGTTCAAGAGTTTTATCCACATTGTTGCGTGACCTTCACAGAAGCTTAGTGATTAAAGCAAGCACATTCTCCACTTTTTGAGAATAAGTTGACTTTCCAGTGTCACAGGCTTTTTAGTGTCAGAGCCAAGAGAAAGAAATTCAGAAACTCATTTCTCAGCCCCTGTCCTGTTTCCTCCCCTTCACGGTGCCTGGGCTTGAGAGCTCCCTGGAAGAGCTAACTCCTGCGACATAAATCTTCTAGATCAATCACAGCCATCTGTGTTCTCCACGTCTGACCTCATGTCGGTAACCGGTGGCAAAAGCCACTTAGTCACATGTCCAGCCTCCTGAGTTCCTGTTTGACACTTTAGTTTCGTTCTGGAGAAGCACACAAGACAGATGACAGCCAGTCGGGGGACAAGTCCTCACACTCCAGAGCAGCTGTTCACCATGGGGCTACGCTGACTCTCAGCAGAGCCATCCCATATGTTTTCCACTCGAGACTTCCAGGGTTGTTTTTCATCCTTAAGTCGGAATGTTTGGCATTCTGGATTGGCTAGAAACGTGGGCCATATAAAAATTATGTGGAGGAAGTGGGTATACTTAGGAAAACTATGCTTAAAATATCTTTCCAGGGAGATCTTCAGCCATTAGAGTCTGTGTACTGACAGCTTCTCTTCTCGTCTTCCAGGAAGAATTCAAAGTCTTATACCAGCATCAGCAGTAACACTCCTTCCCTGACCCTGCCTACAAAGTAACAGATAGGAATAGGTAAAATATTTGGGGTGCTTTTACATTCTCTGAATCATCTTCAGGCCAAGGATAGCTTTATCCAGATGTCCAAGAATTTGAGCTCAAGTGGGTGGCGAGTAGCGTTTATCAAATCATTCTCTGTTGGCTAAACACCCAACTATGGGCCCAATAAAAATTTTAAAAACGAGTTATTTTTGTTTGTCTTGAAATATGCAAACTATTTTATTTGCATGCATGGCAGATGTTGGTTGGTGTGTGATCTAACCCTAACGCGGTATCTTGCATACGGTCTTTAGCAGAGTTTAAAAACTTTCACTGGTACCTTGGTTGTTGAACTCAATTTACCCAAAATTCATGTTCAACCACTGAAAGGCTGGAGAATTGAACGTATTTTTCCCACAAGAAGCAATAGAAAACCAAATACTTGCTCTGAGGCCCCAAAATTGCACTTACAAATTCTTTTTTCCAGGACTTTAACAAATTTCGCAGAGATTTCTTTCTTTAACTCTAATGTGGTTCTCAGTTTTCCTCTTAGCTTTACTGCTGGTATCATTACCTTTCTTTGGCGCCGTGGTTATGATGTTTAGCGAGGAGTGTTTGCGGGCACTGACCCAGCGCTAACGTCGTCTTGCTGAGGGGCGCTGGGGTGAAGCGCGGCCCCTCTGGTCGGCGGTGAGACGCGGGGTGCGACTCCCCCTCCACCCATGTGGGTTTCTTCAAGTAGGATTTTCAGTTTGATTATCAAGCAAAGTTACGAACACTGAGCGGATTTTTAACTTTGCTGTTGGGGTAGTGGTAAGTCGGAGGCTGGAGCCGTTCCTCAATAGAGGCATCGCTGCAGCCTGTTCAGGAAGAGCCGCAAACCCAGGGTGTAGGAAGGAAATCATCTGCTTTGCAGCAGTTTGAGTTTCATTGTGTTTGTTACAATGTGATAAATTTATCAAGCACCGAGATTAAGATTTTTCTTATCCTTTCTTGTCTCTTACTAATTTTATGTGTACAAAATGGATTCTGAGGTTTTTTAATAAACCAACAAACTGAAATATGTAGTTTAATACCCTAGGTTCCTTATAAATAAACATTAATGAGGTAGATGTAGTTAATTTCATGGGTGACTCAGGGTGCCAGTGTAATTATGCCCCTGCCTGCACCGTGTTGTGTGCTCCAGTTACTGCCTGTGTTCTCTAACCAGTTCCAAACTCTTTCAAAAGGTGTGTTCCAAGCTGACTGCAGATTGGTGCTCCATGTTTTAGGAAGTCACAGCATAGGAGCGGAGCCACGGGTACTCCACGTGTTTACGGGGCTACGGGGCCAAGAACAGGCCCGCACCGGGAGGATCAGCGTGCGAGGACACTCTCACCTTTCAGGCTCTGTGGCTTTGGTCCTCACACAGGGACGCCTCTGTCGTCAGGTGCGCGAGGGAAGGTCGAGGGACAGGCTGGCCAGCGAAGCATCCCATCCCATCAGCCTTTCGCAGGCCGTGACTCTTGGCCATGATAACCTGGTCGGGAAATGGCCTTCTGACTACACTCGCCTGTCCATGTTGTGTGACCAGGAGTGTGAGGTGACACACCAGCGCTCGCCAGCAGTTCTCACATGGTGCTCCCTTTGTCAACTACCAGGGCCGCTTCCAGGGCCAGGCCAGGAGCTGTCCTTGCTCAGCCTTCATCCCATGTTTGTGATCCACTCGACCTCCTTGGCTCCTGATGAGGGGTTTTTACCTCTGGTAGATGAGTATGCAGAGGGAAAGACAGTCCTTTGCCTCTACCTTTTTGTACTGCCCAAAATGATAAATCTTCAGAAATTTTGTTCAACAGCTTTTCTCCTGTGGGAAAACATGGCAAGAAATGATAAACACTAGGCAGGCTGTTCTCACGTCCTAACCAAGGGCTCCCGAGTTCTGCAGGCCCCTCCTCTGTCCTGACTCTGCTTTGATTTTCTCAGGACGAGTGGCCCCCTGCCCACATCTCTTCCTATTACCTCCGGAAGCCTGTGTGAGCCACCTGCCTCACACCCGTGTGACCCTTTATCAAAGCCTGGTATTGACGTACAGAGAGAACAATGCCTATCAGCCTTATTCTATGAAGGGCAGAATCGCAGGAGAGGGCCTAGATTCTGAGAGAACACAGATCTAGTCATCTGAACATCGACTGAAGGCTTGCTGTATGCCAGAGCAGGCTGGAGACAGCCAGACCAATAGGACAAAGCCTGTTTTTCTCTCTAGACATTTTAGATTGGTGGATAATAAGTTAAAAACGAACCGTGTGCTGAGGTGGCATATTGGAGTTAGATAGTCCAGAGAATAGGAGCCTGGAACCAAGGAGGGCAGCATAGCTCTGCTCAAATACTGCAGAGTAGTGCTGGTGAGCACTGCTGCCGTGGGGTCAGGAGAGAACGAGACCCTGACAGAGAGAGAAGATTCACTTTGACTCTGCTTCCTGGGGTAGAGGCCTTTCTGACAGTCACGTGGCCTGGCTGCAGCTGGTGCCAGTGTGGCATGGCGGCCTTCATCCCTGAAGGGCAGACGGGGCTCCCTGGGCCGACACAGGGATGGCAGGGGCTGTGGACTTCAGTGATCTACAACTTCATGGTCTGGATTTTCAGAACTAGCACCTGAACGGGAAACTTCCCCAGCTCAGAGGTAATTTCTCACCTGTGATTTCTACTCCAGTCCATTTACTTTAACGTCTGCCCTCTGAAAGCAGCACTTTCATTAAGGCATGGAAAATCATTCCCAGGAATGCGTTTTCATCTTAACTCTGCCTGCCTGCCCTCCCTCTGGTAAGTAATCTTGCTTCTTTCATTGTTTTCTTTTCAACAATCAGTCTGAATTTCCACTCAGGCCTTTTGCAATGTTCTCATCAGTATTTTTTGCAGCTGTTAGATTACCCCCAATCCCTAGGCTTCACTAGGCAGAATATTGATAAATATTTTTATTGCAAAGCTATATTCCCCAAACCTCAATGACTTTGCAAAGCACATTTAATCAGAAGTGAGGACTTTGAGCTTTTAGTAAATATGAATGTTTACTTTTTCTTGCTGCTACTTAGAATTTTACTGATTACACTTTGGACTGCATAATTGTGGAATTAATCTTGAGAATGTCAGAATACATATATTTAAAAGTAATTTTCTTAGGGAAATAATACATATCTCAGTGTTTTTCACTGTAATTGGTATTCATGGTCCCTTCATTTATAGGTATAAAGCTTGGCAGAGATGGCCAATATTGGTGCCATATATTAATAAAATGGATTAATTTTTCCAACACAACTTCCATTCAATTTCTCATTAAACTAAGCATTGTAAATTCTGCTGTCAACAGATACAAATAACATGATTATGCAATATTTGGATTACTCAAAATTCTCCCAGCTAGCATAGTTATCTGCCATGCACACAAATCCATCCTGGAAGAGCACGTCAAGGTGCAGTTTTCCCATCAGATCGGAACCAGCCGCAGTCCAAATCTTTGCTATGCACATGCTTTCAAAAGTAGAATTTTGGGATCACTCAACTGGGAGTTGCATCCAGGGAGAGACTTAAAAGATAAATTTGAATTTGCCATATTTCTGAAAAAGTTTTCACCTCTTCAAAGAGCAGCATCATTTGTCTAACACTGATGTGAGAAAATGAACAGATGAATGGATGGGAATGGCCAAGGGAAGATTGGGTAAAGTGCAGTGAAAGGGCGTCTGCCAGAGGCTTCCTCATGTTGCCCACCCTACTGCTGCATGTGAAGGACCTGCTGTCCACAGAGAGGGCTGGCTCTGCGCCACGCCCGAGTCTGCTCCAGTTTGCCCAATTTGACAGCTTCTTGACTTTGTTTTTCAAATTTTCACTTCTGAAGAGTTCTCATCAGGTATTTTGCAAAATATCTCTCAACTGGCCTTGAGAGATTTAACCATCATTTTACTTCTTGAGAAGAATACCTCAGTGGTGAAGAATTCTGCTCTTCACATATCAAGCATCTGACATAGTACTGAAGATGGTGACTTCGATGACTTAGTTAAAGAGGCATCTACTGGGTTTTCAGTGGCTGTAACTGTGAAGTTACTCTTTTTCCTTCTGTGCTGTAATCACTGGGCACAAGTCACCAGGTCCTGACTCCATCAAAGAAACCCACTTACTGTGATTTTCTTTTACTTTTCAGTGCATGGTAATATTCTGATGATGGGTTCACTTTGGAAGCTGGCACATGCATTTGAGATCTTATCCAGGTTCAATAGCATTACTCCATCCCCTTTTCTTCCCCTTTCTAGCTTGTACCAATCCCTAACAGTTTAAGTCTTGGCTTCATACCCATTTATTGATTTATTTGGTTTCTTCTACAAGATAAAAAAATGTAATATTTGCATTTCTGAGCTAGACTAATTTCATTCCACATGATGGTCTTCAGTTCCATCTGTTTTCCTGTAAATTACATGATTTCGTTCTTCATGGTTGAGTAATGTTCCAGTATGCATATGTACTACGTTTTCTATATCCATTCATCTGTTGACTGGCATCTTGGCTGTTCCTAAAGCTTAACTACTGTGAACTGTGCTGCTAGAAACCTGGGTATGCATGTATAGATGCAACATAGATTCCTTAATCCTTTCAGGAATATGCCCACGAGCAGTATAGACGGGTCAAATGGTGTTTCTCTGTTTAGTCTTTTGAGGAATCTCCATACTGATTTTCATGATGTTTGTTCTGGTTTATGTCTCCACCAACAATGCAGGGGGATTTTTTTCCTGCCAATATTCATTGATTTTGTTTGTTTGTTTTGTTTTTGTATTCTTGATGGTAGCTCTGCTGAAGAGTAAGGTGGAATCTCAATATAGTTGCATTTTGCTGATAACTGAAGATGTTGACACCTTTTTGAACAGTTCTTGGCCAGTTCACCTTCTTCTTTTGGGTAGTATCTATTCAGTTCACTTCCCTGCTTGTTGGTTGGATTCTTTCTTTTAAGGAGAATAATTTAAAAATTCTTTATATATTCTAAATATTAATCCTTCATCAGAAGAGTAGCTAGAAAAGATGTTCACCCATTTGGTGGGCGGTCTCTTCATTCTGCTAATTGTTTCCTTTGCTGTGTAGCATCTTTTTAATTTGAGGTAGTCCCATTTGTTGATTTTTAATATTATTTCCTGTGCTTTGGAGTCCTGTTCAGAAAGTCCGCTAGTACCAAAGGCTCAGTTCCAAGATTTCTGGTCTTATAGCTAGGTCTTTGGTCCATTTTGATCTGATTTTCATACAGGGTGACAGACTAATCAGACTAAAGGGCTAATCAGTATTGTGTGCCTGAAGCAGCACCTTAGCTCGGAGATGCTGAAACCCAGAGATAAACAAACAGCAAACAAATAAATCAACCTTCTACTGAGAGTTGCTTAGATTAACTGGGTCTGGAACTCAGTGTTTATTCATTTCTGTAAGAGTCCTGTGCGTTCATAGAATAAATATTTTATGATCCATAGCATATGCTCAGACCACAAATTAGAGTAACACATGGATGTTTAAACTAAATGTAAATATAGTTATGTACAAGGTTTTCCAAGAATAAGCATCCACATGGTTTTTAAGGAGCATAAATGATTTGTGTTTATATATCTGAAATGTCCTTTCCTCTTTAGAGCTGGATTCTTATTCACAGCCTCACTTTCCTGTCTTTCTTAGCGACATTTGACATATTTTGACATGCTTAGTTGTACTGTGGGAGCTGCCGTGTCTCCCAGACAAACACAGCCACGCTGTGTTCCACAGTGTAGGACCAGTGTCACTCAAGACTGGCCTGCTCGTGAGGGTCAGTAGAAGAAACAGTGCAGAGAGACAGGATGAGCCACTCTGTGCGCCGGCTGGACTCATCCTTCTCTGAGGACCAGAGGAGTGGTCTTATCCGAGTCACATGCCCAGTGTGAACTGGACCATCAGTCCTTCCACTCCACCGTGTGCCAAGCAGAGGTGAAAAGCAGATGCTTCTGCGTGAAGGCAGTTGTACCTCGGCTTGCTTTCCTCAATTCTTGACCAGCTGCAGCAGCATTTTCTATGCACACCCTTCAAGCAAAACAGTTATAAGAATTTGATCCTAATGTGGCATTTGCCAATCTAAGCAACAGTTTCTTCCTAATAGATACATCTTTAGAAAAAAGTAATTTTCTGTACAAAGTATGTTTTTTGCTACCAGAACCACTGCTCAGAGATAATTGTATAATAGTAGAGAATATAGAATTTGAAATTAAATAGCCTGGTTTGGGTAGTGGCTTCTCACCTTGAAAGTGGCATAGGAATCACAAATGAAACAAAACAGGAGATGGTGTTTGTTGTGAGCCTGAAGAGAGGCACTAATGAGCAGCTGGGGAAAGAGTGGTGTGCACAAAAATATTTTTACGACTACAGTGCGTCTCCCAAATTTCATGTATTGGAAAGGACCAGCTGGGTGTTAATGGTGTTTGAAGGTGAGATTGCTGAGAGATGCCTGCATCGTGAAGCACTGCTCTCATGCACAGAGCAACCTACTCATGGGCTAATGGACAAGTGTGGTATTGAGGGTGTGGTCTGCTGTGAAAGGCGTGCTGTCTGTGCACCTGTGCTGTCCCACTACCTGGTGTCCTCCACCCAGCGCCGGCCCAGCAGGGAGGGTCTCCCCTGCCAGGCCTGACCACGTGCCGGCATGGTGCTCTTGAACTTCCCAGGCTCAGAATTGTGAGCTAAATAAGCCGCTGGGTCCATAAATTACCCAGTCTCCGGGGTTCTGTTACAGCAACAGAAGATAGACTGAGACATGTATGAGGTGTAAAAATGCTAGTAAGGAAGAAAAAACAGGTTAGGACTAGATGTGAGAAAGTTCTAGACATTATGTTAAGAAGATTGGGACTCAGTGGTAGGGCAGAGGAAGTCTTAGGGTTTCCAAGTATTTTCCGAGGATGATCCTGTCAGTATCAATGTGAGTGTTGGTCTGAGGAGACAAACAGGAGGCAGGGAGACTCACCCAAGGACTGGGTCCATGGTCCACCTGGGGGTGTACGGAGGAAGGAACATGGGGAGTGAAGGTCCCTGGAGCTCCCCGTGACTGCCCGAGACAGCGGAGTGGCTGCAGGTAGCAGGGCCAGGGCAGAGACGACAAGCGAAGATTCTAAGGTCACTTCTTGGTCTTTGATCAGGGAGATCCGAACGGCAGTGTGAGTGGAAAGTATGATTAGAAAACAAGAAACCTTGCAGATTTAGGGAGAAAGATAAATAAGAAAAGTTTGTTGTAAATGAAGTGTTTGAATTCTCCCCCTCTGTAAGTGGGATGGGAAGGGTTCTCCCCTGCCCTTCATTCCCATCGGTGTCAGGAAGAGGTGGTCAGCATTGTCTTGTGGACTTGCTGTGGGTCCCAGCCACATTCTGTGAGATCATGTGGTTCTCGGGGGCTCTTTGGAGCTGCAAGAGCTTTCTGCGGATGCTGGCTGACTTCAGAGTCAGCTTCTACAAGTGAGTTTTGAAGCCAGAGATTTTTACACATTGAAAAAGTGAGAGGAAAACAACTTCCCACTTTGGAGAATGTAATGAGGAAGCTGGAATGTTTCCAGCTAACAGCATTTTATGGACTTGCTCAGAGTGAATACAGAGTGAAGTGGTGGACAGCAAGCACGTGGATCACGGGAGAGGCCTGTTCAGGGAGCCGACCAGTATGAGCCCTGTTTGTTATTCAGAAGGGCAAGGATGGGCGTGGAACTAAAGCCGGTACAGACCTACTCTGGCTTCTGAGGTTTATTTGAACATTCACACAAAACAGTTACAGAACATCTGCATATGTTGGACTCACTGCGGGTCCTAGGACATGGATACACACAGCTTGAAACTTTAGAGAATTCCTACTTTAGTCGGGGAGGGAGGCTCCTCTACCTTGAGTTAGAGCACCATTTGGCGACCTGGGACTACAGACATGCATGTGGACCTTGCTTCCTCTGCTGTCATTCTATGGGCATCACTGTGTGAGAGGTGCTGAGCACTTCCATTCCACGGGGCTTTGTCTGGGTTGTGGAACAATCGAAAACACCTAGAGCATTTGTTCACCTACAGTGTGTGTCTCTTTGCATATGATCCTGCAAAGAATGCTCTTACATTTGAGTGTCTAAGACACAGAGAGGGTAGATGGTGTTCCCCAGGTCACAACAGTGAGCAGGAAAACCTAGAGGTGGCATAGTATCTGGCTCCAAGGTCCAGCTACTGTACTTTTTCCCTTTATTGCATTGTTGGGAGACATTGCCCAAGCGTTGTGCTCCCTGACCATGCTGCAGGAGTGGGTCTAGGTCCCCAAATGGGCGAAGATCTGCTCAGACATCTCCTGTGTACCCCCTTCTGTGCTCTCATGTCCACACTGGTGGGCCACAGTTGTCTTCACACTTGGTCCTAATTAGGCAGTGGACTTCCATAACCTGCCAGGCCTGGTCTCCTCTGAGACTCCCAGGACCATGTGTGGAAGCAAATTCTGCCTGGAGGGGTCACTAGGTGAAGAGGACACTCAGAAACAGGCTCACAAACACCCTCCCTGCTTGGCTGACTGTTCGTATCTTTTGGGAGGCTTGCTGTGATAGAGCAGAACATCTTTCCCTGTGTCCTGCCCTGAGATGCTTCATTGGCTCAGGTTTAGGAGGAACTGCTGGAAACTGAAGGATCCAGGATGCATTCACTGCCATAGTAAAATTGAGGCCTCAGTAGTTTGGATCCAAAGCCCAGCTCCTCTCTCTGAATTTCCTCCTTCCACTGTGATGGTTCCTCCTTGTCCTCACTGCTTCTCACAGACTCATGATCTCCTTCCCCATCCAGGCCCAATTCTGCTTTTCACAGACATGTTTGCAGGCATTTTACAGTGTGGTGCAGAGAAAGAGCATCAGCTTGGAGGTGGACAGGGTTGGACTTATGGTATCATTAGATGAGAAATTAAATCTCCCTGAGCCTAATTTCCTCTCCTGTAGAATGGGGTCATGATACTTGTCTTAAGGAATATGGTGCAATTTAATAAGATTAGGCTGGTAAATTGCCTGGTGCATTCTTGGGATATTACAATTCATCTGTAGATGACAATTTACCATGAATTAGTAAGCAATTGAATTATTGTTCACATTATATATTCAGGATTGCTTTTCATCTAGGCAAGGAATATTTTGTTCTCAGGAGGGTTATTTTCAATGCCACAGAAAGGCCCGGGAACAAATGAAGCAGAGTGACTTTGCCTCTGGCTCCTGAACTGCACAGGTATTGAAGTACTCAGATCCTCCTGTACCGAGTCCACACCCTGAAGTACGTGATGCTCAGTTTCTGCATAGCCTGAGGACCTTGCTGCTTTCTGGCTCCTTCTGTTTTCTTCTTTAGGTCCCTTGGCAGCAAGGTTGTGTCTTGCTCTCTGCTTCTCTTCTGATAGGAATCAGGAACAGAAAGAAGAACAGAGAGGGCCAGAAAAGTTGCTCTTTAAATATTTCATTACAATCATGTGACTATTAAAGAGTCTGACATCTCGAGTTGAGTCATTTGAAAGCAAAGGGACAATTAACAATCAGTTCATTCTACTCTTCATTCATACAACAGCTTTTCTTGGGAGCCTTTTAGTGTCAAGCACTAACCAGACTGGGATAGAGGTCTCCGTCTCTGAGAAGTTCATAGTCTGTTGCAGGAGACAGAAAGGTAGAAAGGCATTTGCAACACATTCCAGTTAAAGTTATGCTCAGCCTGCCGATGAATGTGGTGCAGACAACATTCTAAATTCTAGCTCAGACTTTCCTGGGGAGGGGAGACCCATGGCAAGACGAAAGGGATCTGGCCCTGCAGTCGCTGGCTGTACCATTACAGGGACAGCACTGAAAAGCTCATGGTGGCTGGATGAGCGTGAGTGTCTTGGGTTCCAGTCTGTTGAGGAATGACAAGCTCTGAAGCCAGAGAGTGAGCAAGGCTGATTTCACCAGGTTGTGTGCCACCAGCAAGTTGTTTATTCTGCATATGGTGGGAAGCTCTAGATGGATTTTAATTAATGTTTCCATTCTCTCTTTGTTCCTTTCTTTACCAAAAGTGTTGAGCAAATGTTTTATATAGATCTGACTTAGAGGTTAAGGACAAGACTATTTAGGCTGCTGGGGCTCGAATTCTGTGTTTACTAAGTGCGAGCTCTGCAGTCATGGATTGGTTTTGTAAATCCCTTATTGCTTCAGTTTCCTCAGTTGTACATTGGAAATAACAGCAGTGCTCACTTCACAGAATCACAATTTTAGGTAATATACAGAAAGCATTCAAAATAGGCCTGGACTCAGGGTAAACATTTACTTCTGCCAGGTCACACATCTGAGAGGTTCTGGCGACCACACAGGGACAGGCTCCACCCTTGCCGTCCTTGAGCAGGGATTCATGGAAGGAGGGAGATACTGCTGTGTGACTGAAGCAGGACTTGAAAATGAAGCAAGTTTTCCCAAACTAAGCAATATGGCTGTGCTCTTTGTTCTAATACTGATAAAATCAATAACTTTGTGCCTGTGAGTGAAGTTTTATAATCTGTCCTTGTGACATCCTGTTTTGACCAACCAAGGACACTGGGATATGTTAACTTGCAAAACAGTCACAGATTGACAAATTGCCTTTGTTCTGCTTGCCCACCTGCAAGTTACATGCCACCAAGTAGACCAGCCCCTCGGCAGCAGGTATAAAACTGGAGCTCTACCTTTGTCCTGGGCTCAGCCTTTGGACACAAGTCTACTGAGCCAGAGCACACCTAAATCTGGAATAAACCCTCCTGTTTCACCTGTTGGTCTCCCGGGGCTCTTAAAATTCTTCAACATAGCAGCCGTGCCAGTGCTATGGGTTGTACACCATGGTTAGGAGACACTTCAAGCTTACATTTGAACAGAGAGAACTGCTCAAATCTAATCTCCTGTTGTTTTCAAAAGGAACAGGGAAGCTTTCAGAAAGAAGTGTTGTCTGTCTGGAACTGAGGTGAGTATAAATTAGCCAGAAAAATAGGGCAGGATAGAAGGCCAGGGGAAGTCATGGTAAGGTGTGCACTTTGGAATGCTCCTCTGGGAACATGTGTGGGGAGCCCCAGAAGGAAGGAGTCCATATCAGGGAGTACCCTTCAGAGCCTCTTGTATGGACTGGTATGGCTCATGGAGCAGATGGTTAGAGGCTGTCATCCCTCTTACACAGGTAAAAGAGACAAATTCCAGTGGCTTCTCATAGTTCTGTCAGGAACTAAGCCAGGATTAGACTTGACCTATCTTCATTATTGCCCATTGAGTCTTACATCCCCTAGAGGGATTCCAGCTCTATGCGTTTCATAGCAGAATCGCTCAGACTCACACAATCATGGTAACCATGCACAGGAAGACCTGCCACTTGAATATCTTTCCTTTGCATGCTCTCGGCATGTGCTCTATGCACAGTCTGTTCCACAGACCACCTCAGATAGCTCAGGCTATGTTGAAAGTCCAACAAAGGAGAAGAGGATACACTGGAGGTCAGAGGACTCCATGTTTGGACAGGGAGTGTGATTTCATGTCTTGGAATGTTTCTTTTCTTATTAACCAAGTTTTCTACTTACCTTTCTTAGCATCATCTCTGGTGTCAAGGTTTGGGTTGTTGGCTGGGCTCCAAGGATGATGTGATGCAGTGGTCAATAAAAACCACGCATGTCACTCTGAATGTGCATTAAAGGGAGAAAGGTAAAGATGAATGCACCCATCTGCAGATGAGCACAGCTGTCCTGTCAGCCTCGGAGGTAGGAATGGAACATTTTCACATCTGCCCTATTGTCAAGCACACTCCAGAGTCAGAACTTTCTTGGTTGACTTGATTAAAGCACAGAAACTCCCTTTTGGTAATAAGGATGAAGAAAACATATTTTTGACTCATCAGGAATTGTTAATTTCACATTTTATAATGTTTCCCTTAAAGGTAAAAGCTACTCAGGGGCAACGTGATTAAATTTAAATTTGCATTCCAATATCTTGAAACAATTCATGGATTCTCCCAGGAACATGGAAATAATTTAATTCCTCCCTAAAGTATGGATACTTTGTTCAGGATTTATAAATTACTAATGCTCTTTAGAATCTGAAATCCTTTTAGGGGAAGTAGGAGTCAGGCTTTAAAGTATTACCATTAAAAATACAAACAAACTTTTGCATTTACATGTGGAAAATAGGCCAGTGAAGAAGCTGAACTACATGTCTCACCAGTTTCTTGACATGATGCAAACTGGAAGAAGGTGAGCAGAGTCGAGCCTGGCAGCTCTGACTATGGTGGGTCCACTTGGTCCTGGCTCCAGATCAGGCCAGTTTGCTACTGGACAGGGCAGTTAGCAGAGGCACCAATGAGAACTGACCAGGTACCAGGTAGTTTTGATGTTTAGAGTGATCAGGAGTAAGCAGGATGAAGGAGAGGAAGTCAGCTAAGAGTTTTCTCTTCAGCAGCCAAAACATCATTAGTATGTATTCTCTCTGCCTCATTTCACTCCTATGAAATGATGATAGTAGCGTCTATCATAGGACTTAATTGAGACAGTGAATTTGAACACTTAGAACAGTTTCTGGTGCATAGAGCACATTCAGTAAATGCTGCTTTAGAGTCAAGTTCACTTTAATGAGACACAGCCTTAAATTATTGTGTGTGAGAGTTCCTGGACTCAGGCTTCCTATCCCATAAGTGAAGAAACTGAGGCACAGGAAAGGGCAGGGACCTGCTTAAAGTGAAGTGATAATTAATGGAAAGTGAACAGTTCGCTGACACCCAACAAAACAAGTTTCACTCTGCAATGTTGTTTTCATTTATTAAAAATTAGAAAAGGATAAACAAAAAACATGTTCATCTACGTATCTGTGACCCTTAAATTCACTGAAAGTTTGTCATAACAAATTTAATTGCTTTTTAAATTTGCCATCTGTTATTCCATATAGGTATGTTTAAAAGTTAAATTAATTATCTAAAGCTTCTTGTTTTGGAATTCATAAACAATGTGTTTTGGTTAATTGTGCTGTTTTGCAGGCCCTGGAGCAGGCTTTCTGTGGTGCTTCTACTGAACCATCTGCCTGCTTGCAGGATGATCCTGCTCCACACATGCACAGGAGATGCCTCAGGGGAGGCCCCGCTGTGGGTGAGGGCCAGTGGGCAGCTGGGGCAGTGGGCCACCATGCCGTCCGGCCAGTCTCCCACCGACCATCAGGATCAATCTGTCAGTGCCAGCAGCTCTGATGCTCTTGCGGCACTGAATGGCATCGTGTTAGGGACAGGTCTCCTTACTCATTTGAAACCAGCATGTGGTGTCTCTGGCTTCGGGTCAGCAGATCAGAGCTTTTGAAAATTACTATTATATTGCTCTCCATATACAAATGCTATGGTTACCATTGTCTATTGCTCTGTCTCATAACTGTCAGCTGTTATCTCTCGAGTGGAGGTGGGTACTTATCTTAGAAATCTTTCCTATCTGGTGGTGATGGCAGAACCAGGCTCACTGCAAGGTACAGAAGGGCCCGGCTTGAGATTCAAGAGATGAGCTTTAATTTCCATGTCTGACAGAGCCCTTCAATAAGCATTTATTTATTGCAGACCTACTATGTGCCAGGCAACCTGTTCATCTCCAAATGGGGATACAGATGTGAATATCAAAGACTCCTGTCCTCAGGGAGGTCACAGTTTAGTGGAAGAAGCAGACAGGTGAAGAGCTACCGAAGTAAAAGTAGTGATGGAGCCCAGGGTTCCGTGGAAACCTGAAGAGCAGCCCTGTACTCAGAGTGGAGGGAAGGGAGTGGGAATTTCTGCAGGAGATGCTGCACAGCCCAGGCTTGGAGAAAGAGTAAGCTTTCCTGGGCAAAGCAGGTATGAGGGTGATACAGAGGAGGCAATGTAGTCCAAAGTGGGAGAATAGGGGAAAACCCAGGAAAGTCGGAAAGGAGCTCAGCATTTCTGAAGACCAGAGTGTATACAGTGTGGTGAAAGAGGAGGCCAAAGAAGAGGGAGTGCATTTGCCACACTTGAAGGCTGGGGCTTTATCGGGAAGGCAGCTGAGATCACATAGTCATGTGAAACAGGAGTGGGATGATTGCATCTGCATTTAGGAACACCCCTGGAACTGATCAGAGGCCCACTGTCGTAGAGGCATGAAGGGCATCTGGAATGTTATCATCTTTGGGCCTGGACTTCAGCAGAAACAGAAAGATAAAGTCGATTATAATGATTCAAAGGCATTTAGTCTTAGTTGATAGAACCAATGGGATTCCATGGCTTATTATACAAAAAGGGTAAGGAAAAGGAGAAAATGAGGACATACAGGTCTCCAAAGACTTGATCTGCAGCAAGGTGAGGAGAGTGGTTCTGAGTAAAACTCAGCAGAGTTTGAGTAGAAAACAGAAGAGGATCAGAGGAGGAAAGGAGTGGAGAAGCTTGTGGAGGAAGAGGAAGAAGGGAATGAGTAGGTTAGGCCTGGAGAAAACATGAGTTGCATTTTGTACATTCTTACGGTACAGATCCAAAGTGACCCTCAAAGCCTCATGAGTTTGGAAAGTGGATGGATCACAGGAGCACTGTATTCACCAGCAGATTCACCCATTAACAGGTTTGTAGCTGAAGGCGCTGTTAGGAGGCTGGGCCTGGTTGAAGGTTGGTCACTGGGTGCATGACGTGGAAGAGTGTATTGTTCCCAGATCCTCTCCTCTCTGCCTCCTTGTCACCATGGGATGAGCAGCTTTCCTCTGCCATACACTTCCACCTGTGGTTTCTGTCCTACAGCCATGTGACCGTGGACTGGGCCTACTGACACTGTGAGCCAAAGTAAACCTCTCTTTCTTTAAATTGAAAGCATTGGGCAGGAGATTTAGCTCACTGGTTCTGGTGCCTGCCTCTTAAGCGCAAGGTCCCAAGTTCGATCCCTAGTACCAAAAATAAATAAATAAATAAATTGAAGGCATTGGATATTTTGTTCCAGTGATGGGAAAGCTGACTAATATAGGGATGATGAATTTGATATGATAAGATTATCTCATTCAATCAGAGGATGTCTAGTACATGTTTGGAGTGTAAGAAACCTGAACAAGAGATGAATATTTGTGAGTCATCAATGCAGAATTGGTAAGCCAGCCATTTGAGTACATGCAGTTACCCTTGGAAGGATTGTAGAGGGAGTGAGAAGAAGATACCAATAAGCCACAGCTACCCACAGTCAAGTGCCAAAGATGGTGATGTCCTGGAAGCTTTTAACTCAAGAAAATTTTTAAAATAGCTTGAACTGTTTACCTTACGCAGAAAAAAGTCAGATGATTATTTAAACACATGGATAAGTATTTTAAATGTATGAATGTTTTCACAGGACAAACGACAGGTTTACTTCTTGGATCTGAAGTTAGGTCATTAAGTATATCTTGCAAAATTTGTTTGCAGACATGAAAACAGTTTGTGATGTATTCAGAGTGGTTCAACAACGCTCCTTGTGAGATAATAAAACTCTCCATTGACAGCACTGTTCATGCAAAGGCTGATAACTATCTACAGTGGAAATGGGAGAACAGTGACCTCTGAACTTTGATTGACCCAAACTACTTGCGATCTTCAATGAAAAGTGCAAATTCCAAAACACCACTCTTCAGACTTTGGGCCAATAACCTCAGGTATGTAATTTTTGAATAGTTTCCTCCAGCAATATTCACATTGTCATACTGGCAAAAGTTCATGAACAATGTTGGGAATCACTTGGAAGAATGTTTTCCACTTTGGGTGTATATCCATGAGTGTGTGTGTGTGTGTGTGTGTGTGTGTGTGTGCATTTACATATACATGAGTACATGTACAGGTTAACTGGTCAGGAAATAGAAATGATTCCGTTTCTACAGAAAACTGCCACTGGGCTATGTCTAAAGAAGCCCTGGAAGCAGGACTCCCACCAAGGCCCCTCACTACAGAGCTACCCATGGACATCACCAGCCAGGAGAGCTGCAGTCATGAGAACTCTAAACCAAGAGAGAAGTAAGTAGGCTGAGCCCAGTCAGCATTAGGCATGGCTGCTCCAGGCCTTGGGGCTCCACCCTGAGCCCAACCTGCACAGAATGCCAGAGCTCTAATTTTTCATGTGTGTCCAGATGGGTTCTGAATTTGCTTTGGGCTGGTCACTCCATTACTTTCCTGTTCCTGCCTTTTGGAATAACACTGTATAACCTGTGCTTGTGTCAACCTTATATGTTGGGAGTAAGTAATTTCTTTAGATCTTACAGGCTCACAGCTGGGGAGTTCACTTTAAATGTCAGATGAGACTTGGGATTTTTGAACTGATGTGGGAATAATTAAGATTTTGGGAGTATTTGGATGGAATGATTTTATTTTGTCTGTGAGAAGGACATGAATTTCAGGGGAACAGGGATGGAATGCTACAGCTTGAATATGCTTTGCCCTCTCTGAAACTCATGATGAAATTTAGTCTCCACAATCAGATACTAAGAGATGAGACCAGGTAGGATCCTCAGGATGTGATGAGGGCTCTGCTGTCATGAAGGAACAACAGGTTAATGGGCTATCTCTGGAGCAAGTCCCCATCAAGCCAGCTTGGCTAGGTCTCCCACAAGCTCCCTGTGACTCGTGAGGCCCTGATCACCCCAGGATTGCCAGCAGCAGGCCACCAGCAGACATGCCTTCACACCTGGGCCAGAAGCCAGGGCTACACCATGCTTTTGGACTTCCAGAACAAGGAGGGAAATAAATCCATTTCTCTATAACTTACCCAGTGTATAGCATTATATTATTAGCAATGGCAAGTGGGCTAAGACACCTTTTCAAAGGAAAAAAATATTAGGTACTCAAGATTTAAACCATGCTTCTTTTGAGGCCAGCCTGGGCTACATAGTGAGTTCAGAGCCAACCTGAACTACATAGTGAGAGTATGTCTCAGAAACACAAACAAACAAACAATGCTTCTTTTTTTGGTACCAGGGATCGAACTCGGGTCCTTGCGCTTGTGCAGCAGGTGGTGAAACCACTGAGCTAAATCCCCGGCCCAAAACAATGCTTCTTTTATTGTGCTCAGGGGTTATGGTGGTCTTCAGTTGCACAGTGGCAGGCCTTCACTGCAGATGTGTGGCACATCCAGCTGTGGAATGGACTTCTGTGGGCGCCCCTGCATGACGGTGCAGATACACTCTGTTTTGTGTGAGTTGTAGGTGACTAAACATCTGCTTCCATCTAAACTTTCCCTACCAGGGAGGAGCAGGTGGCTCAAGTGCCTCTTATAAAATTGTTCCCTGGTTTCATCTGACTTCTTTAACCAAGATCTTTTCATATCACAGCATCTCCTTTAACAATATCACCTTATATTGAAGTCCCTTTCTGGGCTCCTGAGGTCTTGCTTACTGCAGTCCAGTGTATCGGTCAGCTTTCCATGGAGGGGACAAAATACCTAATGTAAACAACTAAAAGGAAGAAGAGTTAATTTGGGCTGGGGGTTTCAGAGCTTTCCATCTCATGTTGGCTGGCTCTAAGGCAGACAGTGTTGTGGACAAGCATGGCAGAAGAGGGCTCCTCACCCTTGGCCAGGGAGCCAAGCAAGAGAACAAGGGAGCCAGGGAAGACACACTGTGAATGGCTCCTCATGTGACCCACTCGCTTTACATGACCCACCTCTTAGCAGCCCACTGAGCTAATGAGCCCGTCAATAAATTAATTAGTGCCCTCTTCCATCCAGCTCCTCAAATCCCCAGCCAGCACCAGCCGCTCAACACAACGAGGCTTTCCAGGAGCTTCTGGTCCTGACCGCACCTGACCGCACCCGACTGCAGTTGTGAGGATGTGTTTTCTCCACTCCTCCAAAGTGCAGGCTCCTGCAGGCATAGACCACCTTATGCACCAAACAGTAACTGCTGCATAACATTTATAGGCTGACTCTCAAAACTGACTTGCCAGGGCAGAAAATGTATTGAAGCAGGTTCTTTCCTTTTCTAAAGTTGATAGAACTTATACAGATCTTACAAACTTAAGTTTGCTTGCATTCCCAACAGGAGTTTGGATCCAAGAAAACAAATTGGAAACTGCATCTAAAATGAGTCATCTTCTTTTTTGTATTGAATTCACATTTTCACTTTAAACATCTTTAATACTTAGTATGGCATTCCTGCTAGCTTTAGAAATCAAAAGTGGTTTATGGATTCAATTTAAACCTTTCAGGGAGAGAAAATCTATTTTTAATTTTCATTTTAATCATTTAAATATTTAAAGATGTTGTCTTCATTCTCTAAACTTCTTTTAATCACACTGGCTATGGCTACATAAGAACTTTGGAGACAAAGGACATTTTTATTTGTAGACTACTGTAAAAAACATATTTTCAACTTAGAAAATGTGTTTTCTAAACTCTAGTTTTACCTTTTAAATTCCACCAAAGTTATAAATGAGCTTTGTGTTGATGTGGTTGTGAAGTTTCTGTCACAACTGGGATAGGTAGAGAAGGATTCAAACATCTCCGTCCTTACTGCGTGCATGTGCATGTGCGTGTGGGGGGTAGGGGCTCCTGTTTCAGTGTTTTGCTCCTGCTAAACCTCTCATTTATTGTCTGCTGGCACTGGTCACTCTCACCAGTGATAAAATTAAGCTGTAAGAGTTCATACTGGGCCCTGGTGGTCTACCAGGGAATGGAATTTATCAAATGTCTTTCAGGAGTCCAGGTTGACTTGGCAGCTCTCCCACTGCTAGCTATTTGAAGTTCACAGCTATCTTCCCCCGATTCAATTTCTTCACCTAAAACTAGGTGCACTCTGCAGGGTGATGAGTGGGTCATAGATAGTACATGGGGGGCTCATAGAAGCTCCTTGTCAAATTATTGCTCCTGAAATTATTACCAATTTCCCATAAGAACGAAGGCTGTGAAAGAAAGAAAGAAAGAAAGAAAGACAGACATATGTACACACTCAATGGTAACTTGATTTATGTTTCTATAATTCCTTTCCGCACTTTAAAACTTCAGTCCCCATCTTGTACCTAAAGGGACAGCTCCGTAGCTACCTGGACCTTAAAGTGTAGATACACTGGGATCTCCAAGCTGATTTGCCAGTAAACAGTGAGCCAGTCAACTGCGCTCTGTGCTTCTGAAGGCTCACAGTGCTTCTATGGAAGGACACAGGGCAAAGAGATATTCTGGGCCATGGCATTGCCTTGGGCCTTGCAGCTCCTGGCTAGACTAGACAGAGCTTATGCTACTTCCACACCCTAACTGAAAAGCAGAGCTCTTCGAGGCAAAGCTGAGATTAAAAGCCACATGGAGATTTCAAAGTTGCTGGGAAAGGCCCTCTCTTACCTTTAACGAAATCCTATCTACTTTGCCTATGCCTTTCATACTGTCCTGCTGTACTTGAAAGGGGAGGCAGGGCTTTTCTTCCGTAGTTGGCCAGAAGGATATAAACAATGAAGTGAGCGGTCAAGACCCAACACCAACATGTCCTTGGATTTTCATTGTTCTCCTAAGGACTAGAGCAGAGGCAAACCCATGGCTCACGAGCCGCAGTAGGCATGCAGAGCCCTCTCTGTTGGCACGTGAGGCAAGGTGCCCCAGCATCCAGGTATTGAATGACAATTGTTTTTGCTAAACTAAAATCTCAGGTTTTAGGTTTAATGGCAGTGTTGGCACTTTGGGATAAACAAATGGGTTATGGATTGCAGTGTGGGCCCTCGGTCTCCAAAAGTTTCACCATCACTGGACTAGAGCTCAACTCAGAAGACATTTCCGCAGCCATCTTGGCAATAATTCTGGTGTGAAGCATTTTCCGTAGCCTCCTTGCTCTGGGAGTTGACCCTATTTAGGGGCACATTTACTGGACACCACACCCTGTGTGATTTAGTCCTGATCTCATTCGATTCCTACCACTATCTCTTGGAAAAGGAGCATGAACGTATTTATATCTGAGAAATCTGAGCATATAAGGTTTTGAGACTCATGGCCAAACTAACCAGAGAAAGACAAGGTTAAGACTGAAAAGTGCATCTATGTGACTCCAAAGGCCCTGTTCCCGCCATTACTTCAAGGTGCTGTTTACCATCAGGAAAAACAGAGGTTCCCTGACATTTGCTATTCTGCCCTAACTCTTAATCACTTGCACTTTTGAAAATTGGCCAAATAACAGAACATCCCAAAATATAATCTTCCTTCACTGTATGGTTTTTAAATTGCTGAATTAATTGCTCATTAATTTTTACTATAAATTTTGTCTAAATATATTGATATCAGTATTTGTAGATAAAGCAGAAATAAAGCATTATGAAAATGATCCCAGAATCAATGCTGTAGAAAGATTCAGACTTTGGAATATGCATCCATTCCAAAGCTGATATTTTTAACTATAAGCAGGCTGCCTATTCTTCTAATTTTAAAGTTCTTTATATATAATGAGGACAGTGGCAGATATCTATGGTAGTCAAATTTCAGTTTCTGGATCAAAACACCTGATACACACAGATTAAAGGAGGAAGGGCTTATTTTGGCTCATGGTTTGAGGAGCTTCGGTCCATGGCCAGTTGGATTCAGGGCAGAAACTTTATGGTGGAAGGCCCGGGTAGTGGAAAGCTGCTCACCTCATGGAATCGAGGAAACAGAAAGAGCAGGGGAAGAGTCGGAGAGAAAGATTTGGGGACAAGATACACCCTTTAGAGGCAAGTTCCTGGTATTCACTTCCTCCAACAAGGTTCTAGCTCCTACCAGCCCATTCAACTAATGAGATTATCAATGGCTGAATCTACTGATGGGGTTGGTGCTCTCCTGATCCAATCCCCTGTCTAGGCCTCATCTCTGAACACTGCTGCTTTGGGCATAAAGCCTTTAATATAGGAGTCTTTGGGAGACACTTCATATTTAAATCATAATGGCATTTTTCATGGCTATTGTAAGAAATAATATAAAAATGTCACAGACTCTGACCCATTAAGACATGCACTGAATGACAGACCTTATTATTAGGGCTACTGCCCTCATGTTGTTAAGATAGCAGCCTAAATGGGTATAATGTATATAGATAATTTTCCAATAGTATTCAAACTGATCCTGTTTCCCTCTAGCATACAAGCACCTTGATACAAAGATGAGACTGGAAGTTCACCCATTTATTCTCAGCTCTTAAAACAAAGTGTTCTTTTTTTTTCCTTTGTACCTAGGATCAAACTTGGGACCTTGCTCTTGCAAGGCAGTCAGAGGAACCACTGAGCTAAATCCCCGGCCCTTCTGCTCTTAAAACAGGGTCTAATATATAATGGGGAAATAAGTAAAGGTAACTTAAATGGAATTGAGGATACATTCAGGAGATTTGGGTCCGTGACCAAGTACTTCATTAAGCAGTAACAAATTTCAAAATGTATAAAATAGAAATTGCTTTTTTAACATCTCAAAACAAATGCATTAAAAAGTACCTGAGATGAAACTCATGAGGTATCTCAGAGCATGGATTAAATGGTATTAAAGGCAAAGAAGAGACATTTAGAGCATCAGATAAAACCAATTTTCTTTCTCTTGATTATCTCCTTAACAGCCAGAGAAAGCATGATGGATCATCAGGAGTGAATTTGAGGTCACCAACTGTATGAATAGGAAAAGCCCTGGCCATCTGATGGATGTATAATGAAATGCGGATTCTATATGCTCTGGATGAAATGATCCGAGATGCTGAGGGGTACTTCAACTCATAACCATCTCAAATGGGATGTGGGGGGTGAGCAGGGTGGTCAGCACTGCCGAACAGAGTGGACACGGGCTCCCTACGGGGCCTGCGGTGGAGTTCTGCTGACTCAGACACGGACGAAGATCTTCAGGGTATGCACACGTAGTGCCACCTCATTATGTTTCATGCGCCAGGATTTTATTTTTTATTGTCCTTTTAGTTGTAGTGTATGTGCAGTTTTTCTTTATTATAGTATATGTTCTTTGCAGTCATAATGACACGGTTAATTTTATGTATCCTTCACAATTTTAATATAATCATATCAAGACTCAATGGCTTATTTAAAATGGATGAATCATTCTTGCTTTGTAGAGTATTTTTGTGGTTCAAATGACCCAGAAGTGGGGAACAGCTCAATGCTCAGGAGTTCAGAGAGTAAACTTACTATTGTTGTGCTATTAGCAGCTAAGTGTTGAGAGCTTATCCTCTTCATTTAGTCCTCCTTAATTAGCTAACTAGTTAGTAGAAATTAGGGAGGCATAAACCCAAAGCACACGCCTCCATTAGCAATGTCCATGTTTTCTCCCTACTCGCTACTACTGTAAGCACTGGTGGTATCTCACCTGCAAGGCCTTTTTTAAAACCTCCTCCCAAAGAGATTTTTCCCCTTGGTTTGAATCACTGGAATATTTGAGCATTCTGATATTATTTTTTGATGAGTATGATGTTTCTGAAGTGGATGAAGCTTCCTTTAAAGCAGTTTAAGTATGGCTCTTCCACCTTACCCTACCCTCCTGGGCAGTAAGACCACACAATGGTCTTTTGATTATCAGTTGATATTCCTTGGAATCTTTTCACTGAATTGCTTCTCCTCTATCTATTTGAAACTTAGTGTGTACTAAAATGACTGCCATGGAAAGCAGCAGGTTTAGTAGTGGAATACTGTAACTCACTTCATTTCGACTTTGACTCATCCATCATAAAACATTTATTCCTATCTTTCTCTAGTATTTTGAAACAATGGCAACAGTATGTTATTGCCCAGTCTTGAGTCTCACAGGAGAATGTCTTGCTCATTTAAGATAATGAAATTCTGCACAGGGACTGGTCCAGTCTCAGGAAAAATGATCTATGTTTCACCTGCTCAGTTTTTGTTTGATAGCAGAACATTCAACTATCCAGTACTCTCCCAACAGCTAGAAAATGCAGAGAGGGCATTTTCCACTAACTCTTCCCTGGGGCCAGTATCTGTAAGTAGAAAGGAGAAAGTAAAAGATACGCCAGGTTCTAATGGTACGGTTTCCCCTTACAGAAGTCTGAATAAGGACTGTGGCATATAGATGATTCAGCTGATGTTAATGACCTCTGAGTAGTTTCAGTTTGTTCTTTTGGCATAGACAAAACTTCATAGGCATCCAGAAAAAGGGCACTGAAAAAGTACAATTTAGGGATCAATAAACATCCAGGTTTCTGAATTTCAGATTAGATAATTCTCCATGCTTTGCTTGTGGAAATCTTTTCTATATTTATATTATGCTTTATATAAAGAACCTAGTATACATCTCCCAGGTTAGAGCTGGTAGAATCTTATTGTAAACATTAATTCCCATTGCATAGTGAAGACAGTGGCTACTCGTACGTTACTTGCTTGTGTCTCTTTCCTGGCTGCTTCCAGAGCTACAATCAAGTCATGACTTAGACTTAAAAGGTCCCCCATAAGACCTATGTGTCCAGAGGTGGGAGAGTTGGAAGGTGACTGGGTCATGGATCTCCACTGATGAATTCATAGCTGAATGAACTATTAGGAAGTGGAGCCTGGTTGGAAGAGCAAGTCTCTGGGGCACGAACTGGAAGAGGGAGTGCTCATCTCCAGGTCCTCCCTTCTCTCTCTCTGTTTCCTGGCTGCCATGGATTAAGCAGCTGTCCCCTACCATGCCCTTCTACTATGCTGTTTCTGCCTTGGAGCTGACTGACCATGGACTGAACCTACCAAAACCATAAGCCAAAAAACCCTCTCCATTAAGTTGCAAGTGTTGAGTATCTCATCCAGCTACAGGAAAGTGACTAACAAGGTACCCTCAAGTTACACCTGTCTACTTAGCCCACTGTGGGCTCTGTTACCAACGGCGTTATTTCTGATAGGGTTTGGCTAGTGTTAAGGCAAAATCTTGATGCACGTTTCATGATTTGTTTTGATTGTGTCCAGTAGCCATGTCATAGCCTGAAGTTCTTATCAAGTTTGCTTAGTTGTAAGCAATCGAGATCTTTAAATAATCCTAATTATAAAAATAAGAGTGGATTGTCTAAAAATAGCCATTGTCAAAGACCAGAACAGCTTGAAGGAGAAGTTGCTTTCCTCTCCTCTCTCCTAGGGGCAACTTCCTTTGTCTCTAGTGGCATCGCTGTTTCTCCCTGGAAACCTACCTCGCCCCCTTCTACTGACTAGCATCCTCTATGCATATTTTTCCATCCGTATAACTTCAAATGGCTTTCCTTTCAAACGAATTTCTTTGGTCTTAACATTATCTGTGGGCATTCGTTCTGCTTCTGACACCACTAAAGCTAAATACTTTTCAGAGTTTCACTTCTATAAATTTCTGATAATGACTCTACTCCTACTTTTCATGCCAGGCTCCAATTTTATAGATAGTTGATGAATTTTTATCCATGAATTAGGAACTCATCTTTGATTCAATCAATAAAATTGGGGGATGGAATAAGTGATACAGTTCCTGCCTTTCATTGTGGCACAGATACAGGTAGGCCATTCTGGAAAAACCTGTATATTATTGTCAGCAACAGGAAGTAGAGTCATTCACACAATTTTGCAATTCTTATCAGGCCTCTTGCATGTTAATTTCCTCACCCATTGGAATGCTAATAGTACCATCTCAGGCCTCTTATAAAGATTATAGAGATAAGTGAGTAACACAATATTTTCAATTTTTAATTAAGGTCACTTTGAATAGTTACACTAATAGAATTATTAATAATAATAGTTATATAATTTTAGTAGTCATAATTGTAGTGATAATAGTATCTTTTTTGCAGGTTTGGAAGTAGAAATCAGGGCCTTGTGCATGCTAGGCAAATGTTCTAACATGGAGCTAAATTCTCAGGTCCAACATAGCCTTTTAATAGTAGTAGTTACTGTATTTTTTGGGGGGGGTACCGGGGATTGAACTCGGGGCCTTGCGCTTGAGAGGCAGGCAGCAGTAGTTACTGTACTTTTAATAGTGCAAGACCTTTACTCACCAGATCAGCAAAATCCATGTGGAAGACTTTGTTCCAGCTGGGTTCTATAATTATCCATGACTCGACTGCTATGGCCAGGAGGGCTGGGGGTCAGGCGCACTGGTCTAATCCAGTTCCCTTTTCAGCTCTAAAAGTGGATTTAGCGAAGTTTGTCCCCATTAACTCACATGGAGTTGAAATGGAAGTCAGTAAGATCCTCTCTACCTCTGCGGAGACATAGGTGCAGATAATCACTTCGCATACCTCACAAGCTATTCTGAGGCTTAGACGAGATGGCTAACGTGAGTTCTTGAGAACAATAATTCCCAAATAAATATGCCAATTAATAGTGACCCCTATTCTGCTCTGTCACATCTGCCACTCTCCTGTGACATTTGGATCCAACCAATTTTTACAAAAATCTCATCTTTCCTGAAATATATTAGAAGACCACTGGGCTTTGATTTCAAATGTCAGCTAACAAGGGGTTGAAGCCTGAAAGTGTTCTTTTCTCCAACCCAGGAGCTCTGTGGCTTGAGGCCTTGTTGCTCATGGCAGCCTTGCAGGTTCATCTTCTGAGCTGTGTGGCTATGAGTCTCAAAGTTACCCCAGCTCTTTGTCGTCACTCGCATCTGCCCCTCTGTCAAACAACTTCACAGATTTTCTTTTTCTTCCCTTGCCCCACTTATTTGTTTATTTATTTATTATTTTATTTTATTTTATTTGGTACCGGGGATCGAACTCGGGTCCTTGCGCTTGGACAGCAGGCGGTGAAACCACTGAGCTAAATCCCTGGCCCCTTGCCCCATTTATTTTTATACATTCTTTCCACCTATTTCCATGGCTAACAGCCAAACAGCCAAACTCCTCATTTCTTTCTTATTAATTAAGCTAAATTGATGTACTTTAAAATTAACATTAAAAAATGAAAGCGCACAGCTCAGAGGCATTTGGTACATCCACAGTGCTGCCTGTCTTTGAGAACATTTCTATCTTGCCAAGAAGCAGCTCCATGCTCATGGGGCAGTAACTCCTGATCCCCTTTTCCTCCAGCTCCTGTCAGCTACTCATTTGCCTGTCCCTGTGAGTTTGCCTACTGTGGCAACTTCCTATAAATCCAATCACACAAGTCATGATCCTTTGTGCTGGGCTTCTTTCATTTAGCACAACGTTTTCCAAGTTTTTCTATCCGGTGGCGTGTGTCAGTCCTTCATTCCTTTCTAGGGCCAAGCTAGCTGTAGGAAAGTAGCCTAGGTTCTTCACCCATTGGGCATTTGGAGGGCTCTCATTTCTTTACCTTTACCTTGGCTATGTCTAGAGACTCCTGCCAGCCTTTGGTATGAATCAGTCACAATGTTCACTCTGTATTCTGGATTCTGTTACCCAGGTGGTTTTCTTCTAGCCAGACACCTGGCCACGTTTTACCCCACATGCATGCAGACCCGGATGGCCACGTACCTTCCTAAAGCCCATCTTTGTTCGTATCACCTCCACGCGAAGTCCTTTGATAATTCCGACACTTGCTTGTCAGTTGTGATAAGAACAATAACTGAAGTCAATTGAAATCGAGGTTTGCAGCAGGCATTTTCCCTTTATATGAATGATGTCATTTAATTCTCAGAAATATATGAGCTAGGTATCTTTTCCATTTCATAAGAGGAAACTGAGTCGCCATGTATGTACAAACTTGTGCAAGTCACCCACAGTGTTGGAGCAGGACAGGAGCCTGCAGTAGTGCCAGACCCCTCCTGGTTGTTCCTGGTGTCTCTGCCTTTCTATGATCCTGTCTCAAGGTCAATGGATCTGTGACTTGCTCCTGGGCAACAGAACCTCACAAAGGTGATGCTGGGGTGGGATGGGACATCATCCAGTTGTCGTGCTGTGTGAGTCCCCTTGATGAAATACTGGTCCTGGGGGAGAGGCTCCCAGGGCAAGAAAATCACAGGCTGCCTCTGGACGGAAGGGTGGGCCTGGTCTCCATCAGAAACAGGCCAGACCCTCACACAATCAGCCACCGAAAATGAATTCTGACCAAACCTGAATGAACATGGAAGCAGGTTCTTCCTCAGCTTCCAGATGAGAATGAAGCCTGACTAACATCTCGATTTCAACTTTGCGCTGCCCTTCGGTGAGTCCAGTGAAGTCATGTCCAGAGTTCAGTCCTACAGAAACTGAGAGATAGGAGACATTTGTGGTTTTAAGTAACTGCGTTCGTGGTAACTTATTCCGCAGCAATTAGAAAACTAATGTAAATTTTGCCACCTGGAAATAGCGTGCAGCTCCAAATGCAGCAGTGGCTTTGGACGAGGGCAGCTGGTGGAGGCTGGAAGAGCACTGGGTGTGTGGCAAGGGCAAAGCGTGTGGAACGCAGTGTTAGCAGGAGGCAGACCCGCAGGACCTTGGGATGAGGGCGCTGAGTCGAGGAGCAGCCACTGGAGGCTGGAGGAACAAGCCAAATCGTGCCCCGCAGGCGCCAAGCAGCGGAGCTTGGAAACAGAGAGCTGGGGTAGGTTAGGGGACTTGGGCTCTTGTCACCTGTCTCGAGCTCTAAGGCGCCCCCAGGAGCTGTTCTTACTCCGCTGGCCAGTCTGTTTCTGAATTCCATTGACACGTCCTTGCCTCAGCATAGCGGTCTCTCGCTTTTGCTTTTTAATGTATTCTTTTCCATTTACAGTTCTCTTTCCTCTCCCCATGTCACCCCATCTTTCAAAGCCTTTCTGAAATATCCCTTCCTGATTCCTTGGCCTGAGCTCTTCTTTCCCTGTGTTTGTATTTGTTTCTCAACTCTTACACATTGGCTGCACCTGATACAACGTGCAGCTCATGCTGTGTGCGCGCACACATAGATATGTCTGTGGCACGTAGCAATTACATTAACCTTGGAGTGCGGCACGTGTGCCTACTGCGTCTTCATCACTTTACTCCTCACTCTGTCTGCTCTCTTCTTTCCAAGACCTCCTCTCTCCACAGTCTGCCTCCTGCTCCCTGTCACCTCTCTTCTCTTTTACTCTTTAAGTTATTTATATTTTGGTTCTCCCAGAAAAGCCATGCAATATTTAATTTTCTGTATCTGATTTATTTCACTAAATATTATGGTTTCAAGATCTGACCATTATCCTACAA